AGAAACAGCCTTTGTTTTTATCCACGGTCTGTTTGTGGAATGCAGCATGGAGGTGATAAAAAAAACCCATAATCAGCACAAAGTCCATACCAAAATGGTTCAGATAATAATATCATGACAATTCATTATTTTAACGATTCTTTTATAACAATATAATAAAAATATTTTTTTCATAGCATATTTTTATTATTATATTATTATAAGATGGTTGCCAAGTAATTATATATGAAAAAAAAATTAGTCGTCAAAACTATCATTATAGGACATATTTTAACCATTATCAGATTTTAATTGCAAATGAAGCTCTAAAACCCCTTCACTCAAATGTTTTCACTATATTGATTTTCATTGCAAATGCAATCACTAAGCTTCACCACTCGAACCTTTTTACTATATTTAGACAAAGTAAAACATTTCTATATAAACAAGATACTTAATTTTTCTAAACCTATCAGATAAGAACCATTTAGTGTTCCACATTTTTCAATTTCCATAAATAGCAGTGACCGTGAAGGAAATTAGAATCAAATGACGTCTTAGGAAAACAAACACATAATGATAATATAATACACTCTTCGCAAATGAAAAGACAGTGATAAAAAATAAATATTGCAAAAAACATTTAGCAGAAGAAAGACTAACCAAATTAAATTCAGAAAGGTTGTAGGAGATCCGAAGATCATTAGTCATCACACCCTCCGCAACAGTAACTCCTAGTAGTATATTAGAACCTAATCGCTTGTTAAAAGTTTCAAGTAAAGAACTGCTAGTGTGGAAAATAAGCACAAACGTATCAAATTTATTTTTCTTTGTTTAAATTACTCACACAACTTTCAAATTTTTATATCCTAATAAATGCATCCAATTATCATTTATATGAAACAGATGAGTTAGGCTTTTTCACTTAAGTCATTAGACTATCTTAAATAACAGCAACATAAATGCTGTGAAACTCTATATATGACACTCAATATGGCAACTGGATGCATCTATATCAACTGCTAACTATGACTATCATTCTTGGCAATGAAAAAGCATTTGTCGCAAATGAGTCTACAAATCTATTCCTTCCATGCCGAAAATTATCATTGACAAACCAGTACTTTAAATTCAAAGAGAGCAAAAATTTCGATCAACAAAGAAAAATAGCTACACATTCCAAATTGAAGACAAACCAGATCATTAATTAGTTAGCTCCATGATGGCAGCAACAATGTCGCCACCAGTCGCCTTGAGTGCTTTAACAGCTTTAGGTCTTGAAACACTGGCTTGAGTCATCACCAGCTCTATATCCTTGGGATCTACACCAGCCTCATCCACTTCCTCATCATCTTGAGCAATAGCAGAAGATTCAGGCTTCAATCCTACATTGCTTACATTAGGAGCCTTGAATTGCTCTGCGGCCTGAGTCTGTAGCTGTGAGCTCAAGTCTTCAATCTTCCCCAAATATAATGTATGTATCAGAAGTCGGACTCTTGAAAACGTCTGGCTTTGAGATTACAAACAGGATCTAACAAAAACAAAAAGTCAAAAGTTTCAACTTTGACCAAAACAAAATAGATATGACAATTGGAAAAGAGTAGAAAAGTAAAAAAGATGTGTCAAATGCTAACATTCTTGCTCTTCTTTACTGTCACTCGACTGACACCTGTTACAGGTTTCATTCCAAGTTTGAGCATTGCCTTGCGACTCTTCTTTTCACTTCTGGTCTGCTTTGACCTACCAGATGCATCACCCTCTAGTCCTGCAATAAAAACAAATTCACGAGTTGTGAATTGAATCCGTCCTTGTAACTTCAGTTATTGTAAAAAGAAAACAGCAATATTAATAGTCAGAATGAACATAGGCTTGCTATGATCTCCATGCATGCTCATGTTGATTCTGATACCAGATTATTAAACAGGCCTACAAATTCCATCCATCCTATTTGTGATATTAGTATGATATTCATATTACAAATTTCAAGTCATGTCCAAGTACAGAACAATCCTGGAAAGCACAGACATGACATGGGACATGTAATACAACTCAAAACACAGATAAAACCAAATTTAAAAATGTAAGACACGAGAAAGACTACATCACAATGTATAAAATGAATATAAAAAATACAAATATCAATTCAAATGAGATAATCAATGGTTTGAAAATGAGCATGAGTCATCATTCGTTGTATATATACTAAAATGCTACTTTTCATCAAATTATTGTGATATGAATTTACGGTTCGTTCTACAACTTGAGATTAAAAAGCATAACTAAAAATAAACACAAAATGAAGCTAAGTGCAATTGAAGAGCCCAAAGACAATATTTACCTTCTTTATAGACCACGTGGATTAACACCCTTTAAGCATATTCTCCAAATAAAATAAATGAAGTTTACACACCATATATCAAAACAAGCCAAAGAATCTCATTGACCATGTACACTCTTTTCACTTACAATACAATTCCAACCAAATTATCGGTGGGATGCTACTAAACCTTTGCAGATCCAAGTCATATGCAGTCTTCAGTTAATCACATTCCCCACTTACCTTCACCATGGTCATCATCTTCTTCATCATCCTCATCATCCTCTTCTTCATCATCCTCATCCTCTACCAAAGGTTCATCATGCTACAAAATATATTACGCAAAAGTTCAAAATACTATAAGACAGAGCAAAAAGCAAGTCATTTCTTAGTAATCTAAGAAAATATTTAACTATTAGAATCAATAAAAAATGATATTCAATTACTGTTTCTATGTAAGTGTTAATTGTTCTTCCAGGACTGAGATCAAGTATTTTGTATGATAGCTGAATTTTTCTCCTGAGTTTGTTTTGAAAATTAAACTCTTCTTTTTCATATAAATTGGTGAACTCCCCAAAAAAACCTTTCAATTGATTACATAGAAAAAGTTCAGCCCTTAATCGACTAAAAACCTAGTAATTTCAATGTCACTCTCTTCCACATAGCTTCTGATCGAATCACTAATGAACAAACACAGTTCAGAGTCCAGAGTCCAGAGAATACAAAAGCTATATAAACCTCAATTTACTCGAATCAAACGCAAACCCTTAACAGCAAACCGCTACTACTAATACTTTAGAGTCCAGAGGCCACAAAACCCTAAAACAATGAATGATGAGAGCATTGTACACAATCAAACTCAATTGAGTATTCCAAATCCAACTCAAAATTATTGTAAAAATCGCAACAAGGGAAATTTAAAAAAAGATGGATTACGTGGATCTTCTGCTGTTCAAGGTGTTGAGCGAGAAGCTCCTCTTGTGTTTGAGCCGTCATGGTGATTTGCCGTCAGAAAATAGACTGTGGAAGAGTGATACAACAAAACACTACCAACAGCCTAAAACCCTAACAACTGCACTTCTATGTCTTATTTAAGGTCACCCAATTAATATTAATAACACATTACTTCCAATTCTATATTTAAATATTAACTTATATTAACTTGTGGAATAATTAAAAAAAGTTGAATAATTAAAAAAATAATAATATTAACTTATATTTCTCAATTTTATTTAAATATTTAATTTTATAATATTTTAAAATTACTTTTTAAAATGTTAAAAAAAATTAAGCATTCCTAATGAAAAATATATCTTTCGAAATGTTTAGCTTTTTAGAAAGTATTTGTCAAAATGTTAAAATTTTAATTTTAAAAAATATTTTTTAGAATAATTATAAAATATAATATTTTATAAATATTTTCCTATCAAAAATACAAGATGGAGATATAAATAATCATTAAAAAATAAGTCTTAATAAAAAAAACTCAACATTAATATTCTCAACAAATAACTCTTAGCATTAAACTAATTGAATCCTTGCATTTTCAAAAACTAATCATAACACCAATTAACAAATATAAAATCCGAGTAAGCCATTGAATTCCAACAAAATATTCTTCAAATCAAACACAAGAGGTAAACTTCAGTTTTCATTAGACACAAATCCTTAACACTAACATTCCATTTGTTACGGAACACTTAACTGTTAAAAATAAGAATGACACACTAACAAATATTTTAAACCTATCTACTCTTCGTCTTTTCAAAATAAAAAAAAATGAAATGAACAAAAAACAAAGATAAAATATTGATGGCGTATATTGATCATGGATGTTCTTGTGTGTTCATTATAAGTGGCAAGAAACTTCTCCCGAGTCATAGGGACGGATACAGAGGGCGCGAGCATGGCCCGGGCCTCCTCTTTCAAATTTTATATATATATTTGTTTTATAAATTGTGAAATAGTTTCTATTTGTTTTATATTTTACATTTTTTAAAGAGATAAAATTACATTAAGCATATAATTAGAAACTCAACTTTTAAGTCTATGTATCAGAAAAAAAAAATTGTTGAAAAATATCAATTTCTTTAAAAGAAAATTAGTATCTTCAAATGTTGTTCTCGTTCTTTTCTTCTTCACTGAAAACCCTATTCTTCTATGATACTATTTTCATTGTCATTTTCAAATATTCCATTTTGATTGTTGAAGGCTTGCTTCTTGTAGACATTTTCAAAACAAAGTTAGCTCCTTAGTGTGTTTCTGGAGGCTGGTTCTCGCTATCGGTTGGTCTATCGGAGTGTGTTGGTCTACTGTTACACTTTATATCTAGAACTTGTTAGTGGCAATGGGTTTGTAACTCCTGTAATTCATGGAGCTCCTGTAATTCATGGAAGGCATAGTGGGCAATTGCTTTGTTATTGGTGCATGTATGAATGTGCATGGATTACTTGTGGCATACAAAATGTCATTTACAAGGGATTGTTTGAATTTATTATACCAAGTAAAATGCCAAAAACCTACATTGAGAACCTAGAATACATCAAGACAAATACTTTCCGTACCTTTTACCAAGAATGTACAATTTTGTCATCATTACAATGTAAGGAAATTTTCAAATAACTTCAATACTACTTTGGTAATCTCACTTTCAAGAAACATTTTACAATATTTGAAGTAAACTCTTCCTCACAAAATTGTTTTTCTAAGTTAAAAACTCCATGCTAGTGTGGAAAGTAGTCTTCCAACAACAATCAAGTACTGTCAACAAAAAACCAAAAGCATAAACCACCATAACCAGAGCACCTTCATCATCACCAAATAAGCTGCGTTTAAGCTTCTCCTCTGCAGTTCGCCCAACTTTACCACTTCCAACAAACTCCTCCTCATCAGAAAGCCCAGAGGGCTCCTCCTCAGTGTCCCTCCGGCCTTTTTTCAGCCGCTTGAACTTTTTGCTCTCCTTAGGAATTATAAAAAATTAGTCAATAAAATTTGTACATAAAACATGGTCATTTATCCACTCAAACCCAACATTAATAAAAAAGAAATATTGATATATATATATATATAACTTTCAAAACCTTCCAACGATGAATATTGATATTATTGTCCTCCAGCAACTCATAATCATCTTCATCAAGGACATACTCCTCCCTAAAATAGAGACATTTTGTTAAATATTTGTAAAAAAATATAAGTGATAGCATCATTGATAATTTAAATTTTAAACAAGAAGTACAGATAAAAGAACACAATTAACTTTATTTCAATCCTATGTCTATCTCCCTCCAAAGGGGCACAGAAAGAACTTGGCAGTAGCCAGAAACCAGCCCATTTGCATGGAACTTCCAAAATATGGAAGAAAAATTTATGTCATTTAGAAATCACGCGCAAAGTTTTCTAAGAGGAAAACCCTATCAGCTGTTTGATGTAAGGGTGATTATCAAATATATATGCATGACAGACATACAAACATATTCATTGTAATAAAAATATTTATCTATAATCAAGCATTCTGATTTCTTCTCTAAACATACAAGTTCATCAACTTCAATCACAAGCAGATGTAAAAAGACACGATGACAGAAAACTGACTTTTTCTTCCTCTTTTTCCTCTTTTGTCGCTCCTCATCACTTTCTGTTTTCTCTTCTTCATCTTGCTCCTCTTCATCCTCAATGTCATCCACAATAAATCCATCATTTTCATACTCATCCTGCCCTTCTGAAGTGAGGAGGGGAAGAAAAAGTGTATCAGAAACAATGAGATGCACATAATTAACTCCAGAAAATAAGACACCATCATTCATATAACAAGCAAAAACAAAATGAAGAACATCAGAAACAAAAAAAGAACAAGGCTAAACTCTTAACTGACAATTAAATTACATCACAAAAGGGACTTAACCATAAAATGCTAACATCATTTGAACAAATACGTAAACAAAACTCTAAAATGAGCATCAGTCTTTATAATGGGAACCACTAAACAGCAGCCAGAATTCTGTCTACCACACCTTAGTTCATACAACTATTGTCCGCAGCCAAGACACAACTTCGAAAAATTGTTATGGAACGGGTAAATGATATTACCCTTATAGAACAGATATAGAAGATAAAGATTTACAATTCACTGCGCTAATCAGAATTCCATAAAAAGTTATACTAAATTCACTTAGTTTCATGTTCAAGCCAGAAGACCAATCTCGTCCTCAAAGAAATCCAATATATGCGCTAATCAGAATTCCATAAAAAGTTATACTAAATTCACTTAGTTTCATGTTCAAGCCAGAAGACCAATCTCGTCCTCAAAGAAATCCAATATATTCGTTAGTTTACTTTCGCTTCTGTCATGAAATTATCAACAAGGTTTAAACTTCATAGCTGTCACCAAAAATAAAATATCATCCTAAGTACCTAACAAAGAGAGTCGATCTGCATTTACCACATGTAAATCTCTCACTCACATCAAACAGACCAACAAAAGCAAACCCTAGTTTGATACCCAGATTTTCTAACAAAGCCAAAAGCGCCACCACCACTGAAAAAAGTTGCATAAAAACAAAAAACTAAAAAAATACAAAAAAAAAAAAAAAAAAAAAACATTCAAACAACGCATAGTTCAGAAATCTCGACCCAATCAAAGTCCATACCCTCTTCCTCATCCTCATCTTCGTTATCCATATCGCGACCCTCTTCCAATTCGTCCCCATCAACAGGTTCCCTCTCTTCCTCGTCGAGCTCGACGTCGTCTGCGCGCATTGAACAGCCAAAGGAACCGAAAATGTCAGAAACTTCGAAGGGAAAATGAAAATGCAAAAAGGAATTATGGAGTTTCTAGGGTTAACCTTCTTCATCTGAGATTACGCCTTTTGCCATGATTGAAGACTACGAAACGCAGAGAATAACAAAAACGACAGAGAAAACCAAACGGAAGCTGTTGCCAAATGCGATTCAGAAGAAGCGACGGAAGAGAGTTGAGTTTGGAAGTGAAGAATGAGAGAAGACGGTGTCATGCATCGCGGGAAATATAGCGCCTGCATCCTCATTTAACAATTAAGCTATTAATTATATTGTTTAAAATGTATTACAGTTATACAAATTTTAGAAATATGGCGTAATAAAATGTGTGTCCTGTGTTCAATTTTGTAGGGTTATTAAATTTAAAATGCTCTATATTAACTAAAAAAATAGATAGCCTAGTAAAAGCACGATAGATAAAATTTTTTAATTCTTTAATAGACATTAATTCTTTAATTAGTTTATAAATATAAAAAAATATGTTTATATATATATATATATATATATATATATATATTACTTTGTCAATCAAAATGTTTTTCTTTTTAATTAATATTTTTTTTAAAGTTAATTTTAAGTTTTTCTTATTTTTATTAATCAGTATGAACAAGTGCGACGCTATACATATGATAAATCCCAATCACCCACACACGCAGGGATCCAAGTTGAAGGAAAGAGTCCGAATTCATTACATTGCAGGAAGAAACTACCCAAAATATCATTTCAGGGGAAAAAGAGGATTGATTACAAAATGACTTCAGAATAGCCTACAGCCTGCGAGTAAAGCTAAACTAAAGCTTTAAGTTCACCAACCACCAGAATTTCCAGACCCCCATCCGTTCCCGGCTGCTGCTTTTTTGGGGGCAGTTCCCCAGCCAGAGCTTCCTTGATCACCATCACTTGGACCAGTACCACCAATCTCCTGTCCCCAGCCACCACCGTCATTGTTATTAGCTCCACCACTTCCACCCCCCAACCACCACTTCCACCACCCCAACCACCAGGAAAAGCTTCCCTTCCAGGAGAGTTTTGAACCTTGGCCCCTGGAAAACTGCTTAAACCATCATCTGAATCCTTTGTATTATTAGAACCCCACCTGCTGCCCCCATAACCAGAGTCTTGTCTTTCATTGTTGGAGTTGTGTCCTCTGTTGTTATAAGAACCTCGTATATGTATATTAATATCTGTAAATATTTTTTTAAATAAAAAAATTATAATGGAAATGCAAGCTAGTTCATTTTAAAGGATTACTTATTATGCTAGTTTAGGTTAATATATACTGTACTGTTAAAACAATAATAAATATAATATATGTGATTGATTTAAATATTATGTTTACAAACTATATATATATATATATATATATATATATATATATATATATTAAAAATATATTATTACTATTATTAATTAAATTATATAAATTAAATTATTTGATGATATTTTTCATAGTAATGTATATACATAATGTAGATTATAATGAAAGCAATTATCAACTCCTTAGCTTATTTATAGGACAATCCCTATCAATTTGTATGGTCGAGGTTGTTTCTTCTAGTATGTTCTGCACTTAAAACTTGTATTAATCTCCCTCTATACATTCACACCTCATGACAATAGTAATAGATTATTCTAGATAATTTTTCTTTAATCAATAGTTGAAAACCATAAAAGTGAGCTGTATGATAGCGATTCAGGTTTAACCGCTCTTAAAAGGGATTGTATGATAGCGGTTCAGGTTTAACCGCTCTTATATGTTCACATATAAGAGCGGATCCACGCTAACCGCTATTATCGTTAAAAAGCTGATCGATTATTTCAAAAAGTAATCGATTAGTTTTCCATATCGAGAACCTAGGTTATTTTTTTAAATAATTAATTAATTTTTAAATAATCAATTAGTTTTTCAAATATATATTAAATAATTATAAATAAAAAATATATCAAATTAAAATTAAAAAAAATTATTTTTAAATTATATATATGATATAAATTATAAATATAAAGTTAAAAAAATTATATTTAAATTATAACCTTAAAAAAAATTATGATTATAAAATTGATAAAAATATAACTATTTTTATTGTTAAATAAATTATATATATTATATAAATTATATATATATATATATATATATTACATAAATTAAAATTACAAACTCTAAATTAATTTTATATATAAAATTTACATAAATAAAAATAAAAATTATCAACTTAAAAATAAATTATATTTAATATATATATATATATATATATATATTCTCCAAAGTATAAATTATTTTCATTTTTATAATATATATATATATATATATATATATATATATATTTAACTATTTAAAAAACTAATCGATTATTTCAAAAAATAATTTATTAGTTTTTTCATACTTGATTTTTTCATACTTGATGAGAATCAGTTATTTTTTAAACAATTAATTAATTTTTAAATAATGAATTGGTTTATCAAATATATATTAAATAATTATAAATAAAAAAATATAGCAACTTAAAATTAAAAAAAAATAATTATTTTTAAATTATATATATTATATAAATTATAAATATAAAGTTAAAAAAATTATATTTAAAATTATAACCTTAAAAAAATTATGATTATAAAATTAATAAAAATATAACTATTTTTAATGTTAAATAAATTATATATATATATATATATATATATTACATAAATTAAAATTATATATATGAACTCTAAATTAATATTTTATTTAACATTTATATTTTTAAATTAGGTATTTAAAAAGATTTGTATATTTCTAAAATTAATAATATATTTAGATTTATTGTTGAAAGTAGTAAAATAATATTTAAAATATATTATTAAAGATTATATTTAAATTTATTTGTATGATTAAACTTATTTTAATTTTTTGATTTATTTGATATTATAATTTTTTTAGAAATTAATAATAAATTAGGAGGATAATAAAAATCTTAAAAATTATATGTATATAAGAAGAAATAATATTTTGATGTAAAATATATATATATATATATATATATATATTAAATATAAATTATTTTCAAGTTGATAATTATTATTCTAATTTATGCAAAATATATATATGATAGCGGTTCTAATTTAACCGCTCTTAAAAGTTACTTGTATGATAGCGGTTTCGGATTAACCGCTCTTATAGTTAAAAAATTGATCGATTATTTCAAAAAGTAATCGATTAGTTTTTCATAATGAGAACCGGTTATTTTTTAAAATAATTGATTAATTTTTAAATAATCAATTAGTTTTTCAAATATATATTAAATAATTATAAATAAAAAAATATATCAAATTAAAATTAAAAAAAATTATTTTTAAATTATATATTATATAAATTATAAATATAAAGTTAAAAAAATTATATTTAAAATTATAACCTTAAAAAAAATTATGATTATAAAATTAATAAAAAATATAACTATTTTTAATGTTAAATAAATTATATATATTATATAAATTATATATATATATATATATATACATAAATTAAAATTACATATATGAACTCCAAATTAATTTTATATATAAATAATATATACTGTACTGTTAAAACAATAATAAATATAATATATGTGATTGATTTAAATATTATGTTTACAAACTTATATATATATATTTAAAAAATATATTATTACTATTATTAATTAAATTATATAAATTAAATTATTTGATGATATTTTTCATAGTAATGTATATATATAATGTAGATTATAATGAAAGCAATTATCAACTCCTTAGCTTATTTATAGGACAACCCCTATCAATTTGTGTGGTCGAGGTTGTTTCTTCTAGGATGTTCTGCACTTAAAACTTGTATTAATCTCCCTCTATACATTCACACCTCATGACAATAGTACTAGATTATTTTAGATAATTTTTCTTTAATCAATAGTTGAAAACCAAAACTTTTTATCTACAATCATAGTGTTATGTTTAAATCATAAATAAAATAAATTATAATTTATTTAGAATAAAATTTATATCACTATTAATTTATCATTTTATCATACATATAGATAAAGTTAAGAAAAGCTATAACTTTTTATCCAAAGGTATAATTAGATATACAACGTTATCTTCAAATAAATCAATAAAAGTTTAATAATTCAGAAGTTAAAAAAAAAATTATGTCCAATTAAATATTTATTCATTTATTTCACATTATATTTATCATTTATCATAACAAGTAGGTTCAAATCATATTTTTTTTATTATTCATAATAAAATTTATTGTTAGTTGAATTTTTATCATTATTTCAAAATCACTGCTACCATTTATCATTTATATATAATCCATAATTCTATAATAAAATTTAAGTTCAAACTAGATATTTCATCATTTATTTTATTTTAAAATTACTTCTACAATTATATAACGGGATGTATCATCATATAATACATCTCATATATGATAAGTAACTTTCATGGATAGAAGCACAGCTACATGCATTGGCACAAAAAAAGGTGATTGATGACACATAATCAAACTCATATCAAGATGAGTTAAATTTTTTGCATGGACTGACAACCATTTTAGCATAATTATTTCAGTTATTTTTTTAGGATGAAGACAATCATATGGAAACACAGGCCATGGCACAAGACAAACGTTATCTTCATTGACCGCAGAAATCTGGGCAAATTACACCATCACACGTTTAAAACTTTGTTCTGATGAGCAGTTTTAATCAAAGTCATGCACACTTATCTTACGTTGCTATATAGAAAAAGTTATCCACAGTTAAATCAGATCATTAACAAGAATTAATACTTTTGAAAGATAATTTATTTTTTATTTAATTTTCTAACCATAAAATAGATTTTAAGTGATTCAGACGAAACTCTAACCATAATTCTAATTTAATGTATTGGAAAAACTTGAGGTACATATTAATAAATACTTAAGGACATTAGTTAAGAATATTTATTACTTTTATCAAAATATAAAAGTTAGTTAATGTTTTGTTTCTTAGCATAATGTATTTAATGTTTTTTAATAAATATATCAGTCTATTTTATGTTTGATAAAACTTGGATGTTAGTTAAGACATGAAAGTTACTTGAAATGTAAAGGTTGGATATACATTAATTTTTTAACTAGTTTATAACATAAAATTATTCATAATAAATCAATTAAACAAGGTAGTGTAACATCTTCCTACTCATAATAAATGAGTTAAAAGAGATTTGTAATTATTTTTTAACATTTTTTTAATATTATTAACCTCTGAAAAAATTACATAACTGTTAAATGTTGTTTATTGACAAAAATATTGCTTTGTTACCTGAAATGGTGGTTCAAGTTGTAATTTTACTCCATGATAGTTATCTGAAAATTATAATACACAACAAACGTTAAAGACTATGGTACAAAAGTGAAATAAAAAATAAAATTTTAAGATGATTTTTTTTTTATAAATTATGTGATAAAAATATTTCCGAAAACCCCTGCCTTGTATTGAATATGATAGCACAATATATACATGAAATACGAAACATTCTAGGCTATAATTACGCTAACCATTATAGTCGGTATCCTAAATTTGTCTATTAACGGATATGAAATTAATGTGCATCGTTGTCATGCCAAGCTAAATATGGAAAAAAATAATCATGTAGAATCATGGCATGATACGGTATTTGTAATCGTATATTCTATGTATATTCTATGTTTATCACCCTCCCTCAAGATGGAGCATGAAGGTTATGAATGCCCAACTTGCCTAAAAAAGAACCAAATTTAGTGGCGCCAAGAGATTTGGTGAAGAGATCGACCAGATTGATGATGAGTGGACACATAGGAGGGTTGGATATGATTGTGTTGTATTTCATCACGAATAAGATGACAATCCACTTCAATATGTTTTGTCCAGTTCATGAAACACGGGATTCTTGGCAATGTGAAGGGCGGCTTGGTTGTCACGAGTAGAGAGTCATAGGGTCGGTGTGAGTAATGCCTAGGCTCGAAAGAAGGCCTTGAAGCCATTTCAACTCACATGTCGTGTTGGCCATAGAACGATATTACGCCTCGGCGGATGATCGAGAAACCGTATGTTGCTTCTTGGTTTTCCGGGAAACGGGGGATTGACCAAGGAAAATAAACCAACCGGTGAGA